CGGCAAGATTATACGTACAACACGTTGTACAACGCGTTGTGTAGTTTGGCCCCGGATTCTGTAGTACTACAATTACACTTTTGGACTGTTGTACAACTGTTGTACAACGCGCTCTGATTGGCCCATTATTTGCTCTCCCCTATGATTATGCCCCCTGAATCTTCAGGCGGGAGCCGTTGGGAAACGCGCATCTTTACTATCCCAACCTCAGACTAAAAATTAACAAACACCATATCCTTGACCGCACCTTCATCATTTCCGGTCTCATCCGCTCCTGCCTCACCATCCATGGTGTCTTCGGAAGGCTCTACACCACGTTGTCCCCAGCAGCCGAACATCTGGACTCTGTTTCGACTTCCAACAGGCTCTAAACAGACCCATGTCACCCAGAAAGTCGGCGCGAGAAGGCACAAGAAGGTATTGCACTACTGTCTTGCATGCGAGAAGCGGGGCGCGGGCCTAACCTGGAGCAGTGCCTACACTGGCAATGCGGAGGAGCGTGTTTAGAGAGCGCATAGGGCTGAGTGGAGGGAATGGTCTCTGAACCACACCACTGCCCACAGTACGGAGAGTCCAAATCAAACCTCCATAGACCACTATATACAGCCGATTAGAGTCCACTGCTCCCAGCAGGTCGTGCTCCGACAGGCGTTCGATAAGCCGCGGCTTATTAGGGCGTTCATCGCTCTTTGTGCTCGAAGGAGAGTATCACTGAGCGCCACAGACTGGCCGGAACTTAAAGAACTTATATTGGCGGGCAACCATGCTATCCAGGACCTTGTACAGCTCTCCCGGCGGACACTGATGCGCCTCCTTAAAAGAAACCATGTAGTATATCGCCAACAACTCCAGATGGCGATCCAAGATGCCGTCGGCCAGATACACTTCTCCACGGACATGTGGACGTCGCCTGCGCGTCGAGGGCATCTTGCCATCTGTGTACAATGGGTCGACGGCGGCTATAAGCTTCGGAAAGCGCTACTCGGGCTCCCCCAGGTAGCACACAGCCAAAGCGGAGAACGTCAAGCTGAGCACGTCCTCGGTGTCCTCCGAAGCTACGGTATTACTACCAAGATCGGCTATTATACTGGCGATAATGCTACCTCGAACGATACGCTTCTAAAGGCGTTATCAGGCCATTTAACTTTGGGGTACAATGCATGTATAACGACACAAGCCCCATAGATTTACTACAGACTAATCAGGATTAGATCGACTTCGACCCAGTTGCCCGCCGAATTTGATGTCTGGACCACGTCCTCAGCCTCGCCCTCCAAGCCTTTCTCCTAGCGAAGTCGAAGGAGGCCCTCGAAGCTGCGCTTAAGGCAACTGAACTGGCCGAAAATGCGGACCCGTATGAGATATTGTCCGCCACGATAGGAGTACCAATGGCTCAAAATAATGGCGACGGGGTGAGAGCAGAAGAGATGGCCCGGAAAGCCAAAATTTACGGCAGAGAAGCCGGTTTCGAAGGCTGGGGAGCTACCCCGGCACTGCGAAAGCTGCACAACCTCGCGGTATGGCTCCGAAATAGCGCAATCCACCATGATTTATGGGATCGCGATAGAGGTGTCAGTCTGGGGATTGACAACGATACCCGATGGTCGTCATGGTACTTGATGATTGATCGAGCGATGCGCAACAAGGATGAGATCATCCGGTTTCTGCATGAACACGACGAGGCTTGTGGCCCTAACACCCTGACCCACGCAGATTGGTCAATGCAAGGGCGCACGCATTTGTTTCTTCAAGTATTCAACAGTGGCACTTTGTGGGTTGAGGGCGATCGCGCGGGGCTATCTCAATCGCTAGAGATGATGGACGCAATTCTCGCCTTTTTCGAGCAGCAAAAGGTTCGTGGTTGATTCGACCACCCGCTAGCGTGGCCAACAAAGTTCATCCTCAACAAGTACTATGAACTCACCGACTCCGTACCCGTGTACGCCGCGGCGATCCTGCTCGACCATTCGAAGAGAAGGCGATATCTGACGCAGAACTGGCTGGAGCAGTGGCATCAGAAGGCTCGTTGTGCCACACAGCGCATCTGGGAAGACAATTATAAGAGCATGTCCCTCGCACAGTGTGAGAACGATACGATGCAACTGGATGACTGTCCGCCCTCTGCAGATTAGCCGAGAAACGAGCTAGATCGGTTGAAGCGCTCTCTGCAGGTTGAGCTGGCTGAAGTGACGGATGAGGGTGATGTGCAGGTATTTCTAAACGCCAGGCCTATCTCTATCAAACCCTTGACGCCCCTGTAATGGTGGTGCTTGCCGGAGCAACGGCAGCGCTATCCACGCCTCCACCGTATGGCCATCGACGTACTCTCAATACCTCCCTCCTCGGCAGAGCCAGAACGAACATTTTCTGGGGCCCGTCGTGCGCAGTCATGGGACAGGCTTCGGATGACAGCGGATAAACTGGAAAGGCTTGAGTGCATCGGTAATTGTTTGAGAAATGGACATATTGATGCCGAGCACATCATCACGGCGGCTGAAGATATTGAGAGATGGAAACCGAGCTAGATTTTGACTCCGAGGATATTTGCTAGAGTGGAGAGTGATTTGATGCATCATGACTTGCCATAATTTGTATCTGTAGAGACCCGATAGC